AAATGTTGCAAGAGTACCTGCCTCCATCACCCTCTCAGGCAGCACGTTCCATCTTTCTACCACCTTCTGAGTGAGAAATCTTTTCCTCAGATCCACTCTAAACCCACTTACTCCTCACCTTAAACTCATGCCCTCTGGTCTTAGTCACATCTTCCATGGGGAAATGATTCTCATGATCCACCTCTGTCTCATAATTTTGCATACTTCAATCAGATTCCCCCCTCAGGCTCCTCTGCTTCACTGTCTCCTCATAACTGAGATTTTCCATCTCAAGCAACATCCTAGTGATTTCCTCTGCACCTTCTCCAATGCAAACACCATTCTCCAATAGTGTAGTGAGCAGAACTACACACATCATTCTGTGGCCTAACTAATGCTTTCTACAGTTCCAACAAGACTTCACTGCTCCTAAGTTCTCTGCCTTAGCTAATGAAGGCAAACATTCCACGTGCCTTCTTCTCAAGCCTATATGCTAACACCTATACACATCTATGAACTTGGACATTAAGGTCCGTGTTCCTCAGTCCTTCCTAGGGACCGACCATTCGTTGTATAAATCCTTCCCATATTAGACCTCCCAAAAATGCATTACCTCACACTTATCATTTAATGGAGTTTCCTGTCTGCTACCCAAAGAGTCAGTGGAAATGCATTCCTGTCGTTTGCAATAACTTCACAGCCATTTAACATTCCACAGAACATCAATTGGATGGAGACAGACTTCTGCCCAACACTTTGGTGGAGGTTCTAATTCAGGGAACTGCTGGCCAATCTAATTGATTAGCAGTTCTGTGGTCCCAGCAGCAACAGTGGACAAGACTGACTGTACAAACAGTCCCCAGATTCTAAGTCCAGGACCAGTGAGCAGGGAGGTGAAACCACCATCGCACCCCCTAATCTGCATGACAGAGACCAGAGGCTGGCTTCGCTTGTGCCCTGAAACCTCTCCAAGCAGTCACAAAGTAAAGCAGGAGTAGAAAGCAACCCTTATTTGGACAATAATTGGCCTCTTAAGGCTCTCAAATGAGAGGAGGGCAGGCAGACCATTGTACACTTCCTCTGTCCCACTCCAGATTGCAGATAAGAGAGTGATAGGAAGGTCAGCAAGGAATTGTATGGATCCTTAACCCTGAAAACACACTTGTGTAGTCCATAAAATTCTGTCCCAAAAATTATATTGGTGCTAGAGAGGTTCAGGAACTGCAAGATTGATTGAAAGTGTAGAACGAACTGAAATACCAGCAAACTTTAAGTAAGAAGGCTATATAAAGGTGCCAGTTAAAAAGGGAGACTGTGTGAAAATACACACAACATTAAATGGTATAAAAGTTGGTGCAAAAGGACATTACTGAAAATAAACAGATCGGACCTAAGCCCTGAAGTCTTACAACATCCTGTTATGAATGGTGGTTAACAAGTAACTCACCGCAGGAGGAGCTGCACAAACATCTCTATCCTCAACAATGGGGAAGCTCAGTACATCAGTGCAAAAAACAAGGCATTTGGAACAACCTGCAACCAGAAGTACCAAGTGGATGATCCGGGTTCGATTCCAGTCTTGAGGGACTGTCTGTGTGGAGTCTGCACGTTCTCCCCGTATCTGCATGGGTTTCTGCCAGGTGCTCGGGTTTCCTTCCACAGTCCATGGTTAGGTGGATTGGCCATGCTAAATTGCCCTATAGTGTCCATAGTAAATGCAGGGTTACGGGGTTAGGGTGGGATGCTATCTGGATGGTTGATGCATACTCAGTGGACCAAATGATCTCTTTCTATACTGTATGTATTTTATGATCTGTCTCAGTCTCCTCTTAAAAAGGACCCCAGTATCACCGATGCCAGTCTTCATCCACTTCAATTCACCTCACATGATATTACAGAAATGGTAGGAGGCACTGGATGCTGTAACATCTACAGGCATTGACAACATTCCTGCAACAGTACTGAAGACTTTCGCTCTAGAGCTTGTCATGCCCCTAGCCAAGCTGGTGGAGTACAGTTGCAACAGTGGCCTCTACCCAACAATGTGGAAAATTCCCAGGTATATCCTACACGCAAAAAGTAGAACAAACTCTACCTGGCCAATTATCACCCCATTAGTCGACTCTCGATCATCAGTAAAGAGATGGAATGCATTGTCAACTGTGCTATTAAGCAGCACCTGCTCAGCGATGCTCAGTTTGGGTTCCACCAGGACCACTCAGCTCTGATCTCATTATAACCTTGGATCAAAGGGACGGCACAGCGGCTCAGTGGTTAGCACTGCTGCCTCACTGCACCAGGGACCTGGGTTTGGTTCCACCCTCAGGCGACTGTCTGTGTGGAGTTTGCACATTCACCCCGTGTTTGCGTGGGTTTCCTCCGGGTGCTCGGGTTTCCTCCCACAGTCCAAAGATGTGCAGGCTAGGTGGATTGGCCATGCTAGATTACCCATCATGTTCAGGGATGTGTAGATTAGGTGGTTTATAGGGGGATGCTCTGAGGATCAGTGTGGACTTGTTGGGCCGAAGGGCCTGTTTCCACACTGTAGGGATTCTACTCTATTCAAACATGGGCAAATGAGTTGAATGCCAGAGGTGAAGTGACCGTGATTTCCCTTGACATCAAGGCCACATTTGACAGTGTGTGGCATCGAGGTTCCTTAGCAAAACTGGAATTCATGGGAATTAGGAATAAAACTCTCCACTGGTTGCAGTTATACCTGGCATGTAGGAAGATGGTTGTGGTTGTCGATGGTCAGTCATTTCAGCTCCAGGACATCTCTGAAGGAGAACCTTAGCCCAAACCATCTTCAGCTGCTCACCAACGCCCTTCGTTCCATCACAAGCTCAGACGTGGGGACATTCACTGATAACATCACAATCTTCAGCACTATTCCTGACTCCTCAGCTAGTGAAGCAGTCCATATCCAAATGCAGTAATACTTGGACAAGCTCCAGGCTTGGGCTGAAAAGTGGGAAGTTATACTTGCACCACAGAAATGCCAGGAAATTACCATTTTAACAACACCCCTTGATATTCAATGGCATTATCATCACTGAATCCCATACTATCAACATCCTGGGGCTACAATTGAGCAGAAATTGATCTTGAATAGCTATATATATACAGTGGCTATGATAGCATGTCAGAGGTTAAGACTACTGCAGTGAGTAACCTGACTCCCCAAAGCCTGTCCAATATCTAATAAGGTCAAGTGAGGAGTGTGATGGAATAGACCCCTGCTGTCTGGTTTAACACAGCTCCATCTACACACAAGAAGCTTGACACCATCCAGAACAAAGCAGCCCATTTGATTGGCGCCACGACCACTCCCTTCATCATCGACATTCAGTAGCAGCAGTGTGTATCATCTACAAGATGCACTGCAGAAACTCACCAAAGATCCTTAAGCAGCACCTTCCAAACCTACAAACCCTACCGCTTACAAGGACAAGGGCAGCAGATACATGGGAACCACCACCAGCTGCAAAATCTCCTCCAAGACACCCACCATTCTGATTTGGAAATAAATTGCTGTGCCTCCAGTGTTGTTGGGTCAAAATCCTGAATTCCCTCTCTAACAGCATTGTGGGTATATCTACAGCACAAGAAATGCAGTCGTTCAAGAAAACCACTTTCTCAAGGGCAACTAGGGACAGGCAATAAATGCTAGTCCAGCGCCACCCATGAGTGAACAAAAATATTAATTAAATTGAGAAAATTTCAAGAGTGAAAACATTTGGAATATTGTGACAGATAAGGTAATAAAGGTAAAAGGCAGTATACAATTATTATAAATATGATGGGCAGATTAACATGAGAGGAGTGAGATAATGATGAAATGCCCTTTCTTTCATCTCTAACTTTTCCAAAGTTCTTAAAACTAACTAAACTGTTTCTCATATTCCTAAATTAGGGAACTGTTAATTAGCATCAAAATTGTAAACTTCCACATACTGGAGGGTAAATTAAAAAAAAACGTTTTCACCAACATACACAAATTTACCAATGATTATAAACCAGATTTTTTGAAAAACCATGCAGTTACAAATGGTAAAAAAGGGTTAGCATGCTACAAAACAAATCATGTATGGATTCTAAAGCAAGTCAAAGAGGCGTACTTATGTAAAGTGTATCACTGCACTTCTACCTTCAGTTTCTTCATGCAGTTATAAAATACACCAAGTCTGGAATTCGGCTTTGTAATGATATGTTGTAAATTATACACATTGATGCGCATTCTTCTAAGAAAGAAATGTCATATTCTGACAATCTGTTTATGCTTTCATTGCAACCTGGTATATACATCAACACAAATTATTGTTTTGAGATTTTAGTGATCCTTGAAAAACAGCATTATAAATCAGGAAAGAAATGTTTGTGCTTAAAATGTACTTTGTACTGCATATTGTACTTGGAAAGGTTTGTGAAGAAGTTTGACTTTTACTACATTAGATCTTCTGGCCACTGTTATTCATGTTTAATAGATGTATTGTAATGATAACTACAAAAGTCACCCATAACTTTATGGTAACATTCATTCTAAGGCTATAACTTGAAAATTTAAATAATGTTTTTAATTTTTCATTTATATCTTAAAATATGAAGTTTCTGTAGTATTGAATAGTCAAGCAGTGCTATTCAAAATCTACGAAACTGAATAGAACTTTATCCACACAAGAATTAATAAATTGAAGACATGTTCAGACTGTTCTTCTGGCATAAGAATATGATCCATCTCAAAGCTGCATGAATAAAATATGAAGTAACTTACAGGCTTTCATTACCTAGAATAAGCTAACTAAAATGACCAACTAGGAACAAATAGAATATAAATAAATGGCAAAGGAATTTAAATAATAAAGAAAATCAAAAATGTTACAGTAAACATTGGATACTCATAGCACTTATGAACCCCCAAGTTTTAAAGAGAAGTACACACATTTCATTGGTAACACGTAGATTTTTTTATCTTATAAATTTGCTAAAATAGACAAATAGGTTTCAATGGACAGCCTTACCTCCTCTTCTGTGATAAAATCAACTTTTGCAGAGACATCTTAGAAATAGTTTCAGTCTATCTAAAAGGATAAAAAAAATTCAAACAAGCATGTCTATAACACATTTTTGAGAAAATGTTTTAACAATTCTAGTCGTTCATTTTATGATTTTTTTTAAAAACATAGTCTAGGTTAAAAGTTTTGCACTTACCTGTATTTCTTCTCAAGAGTCTTGACGTTATCTAGAACATTTTGGTGCACTAAAGCTGGATGTGTGAGGTATTAGATTATTTTGGTTAACAATTTTTAAGATAGAGCTTCTCATCTTTATGTACAAGACTGTTGTACCCAGCTGAGATCTGATGAAGCTCAAGCAGTGGCAGGCCAAAGTGACAGGCAGGTACAACTATCATTTAAACCGTTTTTTTTTCCTAATCAGCCTGTTCAGATCTACAACTACGTTTTTTTTTGTGAGGCAAATATTCTACTACCTGTGATACGTTAATTGCTACATCTACTATCCAGAGATGCCTTGTATGTCTTTGTTAAAGAATTCCTAGTTCTAAATTTTAAAATGTAATTTACACATTTAGGTGTAAACAGTTGGGAATAGTAGGAATCAGTAAATATTTCCATACATCCAAGTATTTTATTTGAGGGATTTTGAAAGATAACTGGTATACAGCTATATACAAAGCATAATCACAAAAAAGAGAAATTTACATTTCTAATTAGAAAGTGATTTGTTACAATGATACTTGCTCTTCATTATAACTTTCTAAAATAAGTACTAAGCTATACAAAATTGACTCAAATATCTAATGCATTTTCTGTTATTTTAAATAATAATTTCTTCTCCCTCTATCAATTTGAAAGTGAAAGATGTGTCAAAATGAGTAAAATTTCGAGACAAGGGACACTGTCTAGATATTGCACTTGATGGCTTATCTGCATAACAATGCCACTTCCAGCCTGAAAAGAAACTGATTGTACTTCTACAGTAATTAATGACTCATTAATTAATTAATGACTCATTACACAGATTGCAACTTTCAGAATGTATGAAATAACATCAATTTGGTTCAGTAATTCCATATACTTACATACAAAGAGAAATAAATTAAATGCCCCAATAATCAAGACTGCGTCACAAAATAGATAATGTTTGGTACATGATTGTTGATCACAATTTTATTTATGCTTTTACTGCTGTTGCATACCCATGATTACTAGGTAGAACCAGTGTGATAACTATGCTAAAATCTTTAATATGTTAAGCACTGTACAGAATACTGGTAAAACAAACATTTGGTTCAGGACTGCCATACATTAACAAGTGCGTATACGTATGTTACTACCCATCTCTATGATCAACGGCAAAACAGTGATACATATTTATAATTAATAGACGATGTCATGAAAATTGTATTTGGTTACCACATATGTTTAGAAGATTACTTCATAGCGATAATATTTGATTCCTACAACTATAGCTTCGCCAAAATAGAAATTATATAATTTAGTATGTTTGTTTCTGACTATGTATTCAATTGTTATATTGACAAAACAAATGTAACAAAAAGAATCAAAGCGGTATTACGTTTTGGTTTAAAATGAAAAGCTTGTTCATTCATTCCATTCAATAAATACTTTCCAATATAAAAACAACAATCAACATTCAATTAATCAAGCAGAATTACTTTTGGTATACAGATTTTCGGAAAACAATTCATTTTGTTCGGAAAATACGCTGTCAGTCGATCTGATCGCCGACCAGGGCTCCTCTGATCTTCGCTTTGTTTTACGAGGGCTACACAAACTATGCTTTCCAGCATTTAAAAACTAACACCGCATCTTCTGTATCTTTGGTGGACGTCAATTTTGTTTTAAACCCAAAAGAAAAGCGCTGACGCCTTCCAAACAAAACAAACTGCCGATTTTCGGGTCACGAATTCCACATCAAGGTGTAAGTTTCTTCTGACGCTGGGCCCCTTGAGCTGGTGAAAGGAGCACCAGAGTCCCAGCTCCTGAGCATTCGCTTACCTAGTGTACCGCACTCCTTACAGAGATAACTGCGTGGCAAGTAAAACTCACACCTTATTTCCAAGGTTGAACATAACTGCTGGCTCTCCTGTTATCGAGAATCCCGTGAATGTTTACATGTTACTAACATACCCAGCTGAATAAAACTTCAAATGTCCCAGTGAGAACATTTACGGCACGTAACCTTCTTTATTTTTGTTTTTAAAAATGCAGATCATTTATAAACACGATTCGATAATTAATTCCATCGGTTTCGATTTCTTTGTACGCCTGTGCATTTTCCAACCTGAAGCAAACGGTTAGTTGCAAACATGCACGAGGGGGAAAAAGAAAAATTAACGACTAGAAGTGATGGTTTTAAATTCTTCGGGACCGAAAATAAATGCAGCAAGTGACTCACCGCTCTGGTCCGGTGCTGGATGTTCGCTTTAAAGACGGTAATTAGTTCTGGAGTTCATCTTACCCCACGGCAGCGAAGGAGAGCAGAGATAAAGCCCCACTCCTCCTCCTCCGCCGCCGCCGAGGTCAACACCAGCGTCTCCAAGGGTGACGGGACGGTGCACAACCCCGCACCGTGCTTCCGGTCGCCCGGCCCGCTGCCTTGACAACCAAGACGGCAGAAGCGGATGTGATGTCAACACGTCCGTGGCGGAGGTGGGTGCGGAGGCAAGACAACCCACCTCTCCGACGACTGGCTGAAAGTCGATGCAAATCAGCGACCCTACGAACCAATCAATGGGAAGAATCAGGTCATGCGCTGCCTCCTCCCACCATGGCTCCAGCCACCTCGCGTTGCACTTTGGGGATTTGTCGCATTTTTTTTCCTGTCGTGTGAGAACTACAATTCCCAGAACACATCGCGCTTCACAGGTACTCCTGTCACTCAAGATTCCCTGAAAGTATTTCGAGAGCGACGCTACCTGCCCAGTGCTGAGAGCGGCTCCTTTCGCTTTGCTGTATGCATAATACAAACGCAGGACGTTTAAAGCATGGAAATAGAAAAGATGGCCGTTTAACGAATTGGGCAGTAACATCGAACGCTGTTTAAGGTGGTATGATGTGCAGTTGCTGTGTCCAAGATGCAATGCGCCTAAATTAAATTTGTTTTGCGAAGTGCAGAAGAATGGATACCCCTTCACAGAATTTATAGATTGATCGTGAATAATTTTAAAACTAAGTTATATTTGCATTTTGTAAAGTCCAGTAAAGTGGGTGCGTTCATGATTTTATGAAAAGAACACTTATTAGTTAAAAGGAAATTCATTGAGCCAAGCATCTGGACAAATACACGTGTCCAATGTCCAATGTCTATAAAAGTACTGTGTTAAAATACATTTTCATATGTACGTTTTTGCAACGCCCACATTTTGACATGTTTCTCTGCTCGGCAATAGTAGTGGTCATTCGCCTGGGTAAATACAGCTTTACCAAAGATGATTTCAGAAAGATGTAGAATTAAGCCTTTAATCCACGCAAAAAAAGTAATTGAAAGTAACAAAAACGGATTATAAACAGATGAAAGCAAGAACAAATATCTCAATCAACCATTAACATGGAATAATATTATCAAAGCACGCATTGTACAGTAAAAAAAAGACGTATTATATTGAGGGGCCAAATACGACATTCAATTCGCTGATTAATTTCGCAGGGTAAAGACTTTAGAAACTATCGATTTACGAGATAGCCCGCTGAGATATAGGCTTGAGCAGGATAGCTGCTCTAAGCAGACAAAGAGAATTAAATAAACCGGGATATGTTCGTGTCGGGAAATATATCTGGTGGAATCAAAGGAGATTACATCCGTTGATCGGCAGGGATTTATCCTAGTTCATATGGTTTTAATCTGCTTTCGCTTCTACCCTTTTATGAGTTTGGAGAGGGGATACCTAGTTCGTTTATTCGCTTATATCCACCAGTAAATAAACACTTTGAGCTTAGAGTGTGAGAGACAGCGAATCAGCTGGTGTGTACTACAGCGGAAAGTGACACTCCTCTATCGATTATGAACGGTCCAAGCAATTGGTATTATTTAAGAGTGATCTATAAAACACCATAAAACCTTGCGCTATGTGTACAGTTCAATCGGGCCATATTTCAACCGTCCTCACCACCCCCCACTCCTGCACCCCTCCTATTTTAAGATCAACGCTTTCACACCTGGTCGGAGGCGGCAGGCCAACCTCAATAAGGCGTTTACCTCTGTCGACACGGATAACTGTTACGTTTCCCACACATATTAATGTTTGAAATGTAATCTTCACATGGCTCTTCGGTTACAATTGGAGGTTGATGGCAACAGGGGGAAAATGAATTAGTGGTAATCTTTATTTCAATAGGAATTCAACTTAGCACGAAGCTGCTTGAAGTTTATACCAGATACGACTTAAAAAAAACAAGACAGGCGCTCTATTCGCTCTATGACCGGGAGCTCTAGAAATCAATGAATTAACAATTTCAAAATATCGATGCCCCTTCCCGATCAGCAAAGTATCGGGATTTCCATCAGAAAGCGAAGAACACAAACCGCTAAAATCAGAAATCTGCATTCAAAACAATAACAGAAAATGCTCCTACGTACTCAGCAGGTCTGACAGCATCTGCAGGGAGTTAAAGCGGGTGAACGTTTCGTGTCATACGAAAGGTCATCGACTGGAAATGCCAATATAAATTTCTCGTTCCAAAACCATATTAATCTGGATATACCACTTTAAAAGCGTGAGGGTCCTTGTATGATTTATTTTATTTATATTTGATAGTACATACCATAAACAAAGTACCATGCTTTCCCACCTCAATGTCACATCAGTCAACTCTTTCCAGATGTGATTAGAATCTTGATAAAATCCTAAAATCCTAATTAAAAGGCCCTCACCGATTCTCATATCGGTGTATGAGATGGATATGAATACTCTAAATGCAAATATACAGTCAAGTCTAAAAATGTTTTTCATAATGTTAGAACCTAATGCATTGGTTATGGGATTCCACCGTGATGATAGAAGGGTTGTTAACCAATCTAAAATAACTTAAATAAGTGTAGGCCTGTACTAGTCAATCATAAAAATGTCCTTCCATTAAAATCAGTAAAACAAATCTGGAGTTATTATACGTGCAGAGATCCTGACTTTTGTCTCATCCTAGATTTCTGTCCCAACAGACTAAGGCTGGAGTAGAAGCACCAAGTTTGAATGCTAACACATTGTTCCTGTTATTCTCATTTGATACAAAAAGCTGACTTACTGTCACAGAGTCTGTAGCAGACTGTTATCAAATCTATCGGTAACATACATCTTTAAACCAGGTTTGGATCCAGTGTGTCCTCTTGCAACTCTCCATCTGCAACAGTGTTTATAAAAATCACTAAGCATGCCACATGAAAATTACAAAGACACAAATTACATTTTAAGACTGCAATAATTTAAATCTTGCTGAGACTGTAAGAGGAAAAAAAACCAAGAATCATGGTTATCAAAACCCACAGCCAGCAAAACCAAAATGCAGCAGCGAATGTGGTACATCAGCATATAATCAACTATAGTGCTACACAACTCTACAACAGTTAGAGGGAAGACCTGCAATAAACATCTTTCAGATTTTCCATTAAAATATAGTTTGACCAGGAACAACGGTCATCTGAAATTCACACACTGCCTAAAACTTGTTTTCTGTTTTTCATAGAATCATATAATCCCTACAGTTTGGAAGTAGGCATTTTGGCCCAGCAAGACCACACCGACCATCTGAAGAGCATCCCACCCAGGTGCGCCCCACATCTACGCTATTCCTATAACTCTCTACTTGCTGTGGCCAATCCACCCAGCCTGCTCATCCCTGGACACTATGGGCAATTTTGCAAGGCCAATCCACCTAACCTGCACATCTTTGGACTGTGGGAGGAAACCATTATACCTAAAGGAAACCCACACAGTCGCCTGAGGGTGGATTCAAACCCATTGTTGTTGTTCAAAATTGTTCAAGAAAGCTGAAGTTCTTAAGGCTAGAGGGATCAAAGAGTATGAAAGCGGGAAAAAGATCCTAAGCTGGAAGATCAGACATGACCATGTTGAATGGCAGAGCAGGCCTGAAGTGCCAAATGGCCTATGCGTGTTCATATTTTCTATGTTTCAATGTTTATTATCTATTTGCTTTCAAGGAGTGGAATATATAGAATGGTCAACAGTGCAGTAAAGTAGAAAGAAAGCACAGTTTGGATGACTGATGTACAAATTTGACACACAGGGCAACCAGTGTAGGTTCAATATCATTGAAGAAATAGGCAAACATAATTGCAAGTGGAAGATCCGTGCCTGGACCATGCTTACTTGCCCTTCTCTGACCTTCTTTTGAAAATCTTAGGTTTTTTATATATGCTCGTGAATATTATGTTTTAAACATTGATGGTTGAAAATCTACCATTTGTGAGAAAATAGTTCTTGTTAAAAGAAAACTAATCTCAAATCAATAATAAACTTCAGGGGCTTACATTAGAAACAATAAAACCTAACATAGTAAAACCTGGGTGCATTTACATCAATGCACCTAAGAGTTTTGCCTCTATGTCTCTTAGCATCCTTGCTGACGACTGTATAAATCACAGAATCACAGAAGCATTATGGGCTGAAGGAGGCCATTAAGCTCATTGCATCTGCACCAGCTCATCAAATGAGCATCTTTACCCCATGCTTTATCCCCATACCCTTACAAACTATTTCTATCTAAACAGCCATCCAATACCCTCTTGAATGCCTCAAATGATCCTTCCTCCACCATACTTTCAGGCAGTGCATTCTAGACTTGAATCATGCATGTGAGAATGTTTTTTTTTCACCTTGCATTTGCTTCTTTTGAAAATCACTTTAAATCTAGGCCTTCTTGTTCTTGTTCCTTTTGCAAGTTGGAATTGTTTCTCCCGATCCACTCTCTCCAGCCCATTCATGAGTTTGGAAACCTCTATCAGATGTCTTCTTAGTCTGCTTCTCTAAAGGAAAACAGTCCTAATTTCTTCAATATATCCTCATTAATTTCTCATCCCTGGAAGAAATCTTATAAATTGCTTTTGTATTCTCTCCTATGAATTCATGTCCTTCCTACAATGTGACACCCAGAATTGTACACAGTTGTTTACCTGAGGCCTAACAAGGATCTTGCAGAAGCACAAGATAACTTCATTGATCGTGTACTCTACATCCCTATTATTAGACTTCAGGATACTGCATCTTTTATTAATTGCTCCTTTACCTTGTCCTGCCACCTTCAGTGATCTGTGAAAATATTCACCCAGGTCTCTTTGCTCCTGTACCCCCTTTAGAGTTGTATCCCTATTTTATATTGTCTTTCAATATTCTTCCTACTGAAGTGCATTCCCTCACACTCCTCCGTATTGAAACCCATCGGCAACACACACCCACTCTACCAACCTGTCTATATTCCATGAGCATTGTGAAGCTCTATGGCTTTATTCCACTCTCAGAATTGTCACTATACTGATGCTTTCTGATATCTGCTGGAAATACTAAGCCATATCTTCAAGACAAATTATTGCTCCTCAGATTATAGAACTTTGTTTAAGTGCACAATGTCCTTAGCCTTCAGCTTCAATTATTCATTCAATAATTATTCAATTATTAAATGACTATATGCACAGTCATTTGTGCATACTATTATAGCTTTTAAAATACAAGTTTATTTTGCTAGCGAATTGTTCTTCATGTTGTATGTGGTCACTTGATGATTCTAAATTCATTACACATTGGGACACTTCAGAGATTTGTTTCACCAAGCCACCTATCGGCCGGAGACTGCAACTATTATTATGACAGGTAGCACAGCATTTTGAAACTGAATGGAAGACGTTGATACTGCAATTTATAATTATAAATGTTGACAGGAAACATAATCAAAATCATAGCACAAAGGTAGGTGTGGGCAGGATATTTTAAATAATAATATACAATGTATGAAATTTTGAAATAAGGTCCACATCTTCTCCAGTGGTCCCTGTGTTCTAACCTTCTGAATTTTAATTGTTGAAGCTGTAACATGTAAGTCACAATGTTATTTCACATGTGTCTTAGCACAAGGGAGTTTAGTTACCTTTTCAGATATAGAATAATATTCTGGGTTCAAAGAGAATAATGTTATCAAGACCAATCTCAACGTTGCTCTCTTCCGTGCACCATATTCCTATAGTCTCCTCTGGATTATACAGATTTAAACAACATTCCCCATCCCCCCCCCAGAATAGAAACTTAACACTTATATGCAGATACTTTTTTCCCCCAGAGTAGTTGGCCTCATCATTTTTGTACAACTAATTAAAAGGATGCTACACAAATAAAAGTTGAATGATCTCTTAATTTTAAGAAAATAGTTCTAAAATTAAATTATAAAAGAAGTTTTAAGGCTCTAGTTCCAGCTATCAACCTCTTAGATGTCACCTAATGTGACAGCATAGAAACAGTTGGAAGGTCAGAGTGATAGTAGCGGGTATGTACAAAGGGCACGCAGGAAATCTAAACAGTTTATTAGTCTGAGGACAGAAGATCCACACACAAAATTTACAAATAAGCCCAAATTCAGATATTCAGCAAATCAGCCCATGTTGATGGAATGCAGGACACTTGTGTTTCCAATTGCACTTTAATGCTCTTTTCTTTTTATAGTCTGTATATTTTGTACTTTATTATAGATTATCACATATATTATGTGAAGCCAAAACAATATACCCATAACTGAATTGGATATCATCAAAATATCAACATCTATGAAATGAAAATTTTCTTCAAACTTTGCCTTCCTAAGGACGTCCAACTTTTCCACTAAATGAGACATTTTCCTGAAAATCAGTTTATTTCCACAATCTAAATTTCTAATAACTCAACCTGTTTCTCAGTTTATGAAATAATTAGATGACAGGAGAAATGTTTTTCTATACTTTCAAAAGTACTTATGTAACCCAAGATGAATAGATTTTGTTTTAATACTCCAAAAACTGCATGTCAGAGATTTTATTTTATTATGCACTTGAACTTGTGTCTATTTTTATAACAGTAATTCTTTCCACACATTTTATGCATGCATAGTCTCCACATTGTGCTTTATTATCTCCTGCCATTGCTCACTAATGGCTATTACTCTCTCGTGTGAATTAGTGGCCAATGGTGAAAATTAGCTTCTCCTCCTCTTCAACCGTTATGTGCTACATTTATTACCAAGGTTTGAATGAAAGGAGAAGTGGGTGTTTGTGTGTAAACAACTAGAGTTTCAATGTCTGAACTGCAAATTATTTCTCTGCACGATTTCAGTAATTATATATTTTTGATCCTTCATTGAGTCTTCATTTTGTGTTAATGTCATGGACTGAATTGGCAGTTGCAGCCCTGACAAATATAGACAAAATTAGAATTGATTCATATCACCCCAGAAGATTCCAGATATATACAAATAGCTCATAGCCTGGAGTAACTTCAGGAAAATAACATAATCTTTGGGTTCAGGCGGTCGTTAACATTTTATTTTCTCGTATATCCTCGCCCCTTTCTCCAAGTTGGGCAAGGCTCCAGGAGACCCAACCATCCTCCAAAAACTCCCCCAAATGGTCACGTATTCAAATATTACAGTGGGTGATGGTGACAAGTGACTTCATAGCCCAGGCCCATCCTGGTTTGATGCAAGGTTCACTCACACACACAGCTCCAGTGCAGTAACACGGCTTCTGATCGCTGACCAGGACTGAGAGCACGGCCTATCCCCCTCACCTCCTCTCTAATCAGGGTTAATGAAGCCAATGCCATTGGTCCTGAGTGGGAAGCAAACTCTGGACCTAGAATTACAGAACGGTTACAGCACAGAAGGAGGCTATTTGGCCCATCACGTCTGCACCAGCTCTGTGAAAGCGCAACTCGCCTTACTGCCACCCCTTCGCCTGTTCCCTGTAACCCACTCTGATTACGCTATACACTAGATAATAAGCCGAAGGCAGGCAAATGGGCTGTTGGACTGTGGGGTTGATAGCATATTTGAAATAGGCTGAACCCTAGATTAAGAAGTCATAAATGTAAAATCTTGTTTCCATATGACATGGCCCAGTAAATGATTCGGAAAAGACTTACGTTTCCATATACGATGGCAACACACCTGTAACATGGTAAACATGTATCATCGGACGCAATAGAATTGTAATTACTAGCGAGCAGTGAGTCGAGAATCGATGGGAAGGTTAGAAAAGGTACTGTGGGAGTGTTTGATTGGCAGACATTTCCAGTAAGATCAACATTTGTTCCTGATTATATGTGCTATGATTCGCTAGGCTTCTGTCACGTATAATATTAGCAAACTTTAAGTGAAGTTGCTGGAGCCTGGTAAAAGATTGCCATCCAGGGGCCGGCGCACTTGAGCCTTGAAGTGAGGCTTGTGTCGAAAGAGAGAGGGAGAGAAAAAAATACAGCCTCTCATTAGGTTGGTTGTGGCACCCCATCAGGCTGCTGCCTTTCTTCTATTGACAACACCCTGATAGGAGGAGCTGCGAGTGCGTAGAAGGCGTCAGAAACCCTGAATTTCTAACTTCCAGCTTGCAGGACCTTTTCCAAGCAGCTCTATCGAAAGGAAAACTTCTGCAAGTAAACACTGGCAGAGTCAGCTGCTGAGATCAGCGCAGAGCCAGACAATCTGCCGGTGCATGACTCCAGCTCACAAACTCATATCAGAACTGTGGAAATAGGGGGTTGATTCACGCACATACACACATACACACAAAACCATAATCTTAGCCATGTCGTATCCTCAGGGCTACTTGTACCAACCGTCAGCTTCTTTAGCTCTTTACTCGTGTCCAGCGTACAGCACAAGCGTAATATCGGGACCCAGGACGGATGAACTCGGGAGATCTTCTTCGGGATCTGCGTTTAGTCCGTACGCCGGATCGACAGCGTTTACAGCTCCTTCCCCAGGCTATAATAGCCACCTCCAGTACGGTACAGACCCGACCGCTGCTTTCACTTCCTACGTGGTAAGTTCTGCTTTCTGGACACCATTAAAATGCATTCATAACTATTGCGGAGTACAATGGTGTCTCTTTCAGAGCATTTCCGAAAAGATCTCAGCTTTCTCTTTGCAAACTTTTCAGTCACCACAGTTTGTTATTTAATGCAATTTGATTCCCGTTCAGAATAAATTTGGCGAATTTGATTTTTTTTAAAAAAATGCTTGATTTTATTACACTCTAGAAAAGCTCGCAGCTTTACTTTTGTTTAAAAAAATCAGATAACAGGATGTACAGCTGGATGCGTTTGGTACAAAATGCGATTTTGACGGGTGTTTGTTGTGTCTTAGGGCTCTCCCTATGATCACTCGACGGGAATGGCTGGATCTATAGGATATCACCCGTACGCTGCTCCTTTAGGTTCTTATCCCTATGGTGACCCAGCTTACCGAAAAAATGCCACCAGAGATGCCACTGCCACCCTGAAAGCCTGGCTCAGCGAGCACAGGAAGAATCCTTATCCCACCAAAGGCGAAAAGATCATGTTGGCCATTATCACCAAAATGACTCTGACTCAAGTCTCCACTTGGTTCGCGAATGCCAGGAGGAGACTGAAGAAAGAGAACAAGATGACCTGGACTCCCAGAAACAGGAGCGAAGACGAGGAGGAAGAAGAGAACATAGACCTGGAAAAAAACGACGATGAAGAGCCGCCGAAATCTTTAGAAAAGGGAAACTCGTCGGAATCAGAGACAGGTAAGGATTAATAATTATTTTACTGAAATCATTTCCAATAAGGACGCGAAGTTGATTTGAGTTTATTATCTATAACGCGCACACTTGCAAATAACAGGCTGATTTTCGTTTGAATTGTAATTTTCGCTACACATGCAGTTAAAAGACCCTTTTAAAATGTTTTAGATACTGCCTCGAAGCAACAACATTTAAAAGGAATGCAGAAATTAAATATCAAATAATTTTGACTTCCTTTGAAGCAGACATAATATAGTTAATTAGATTATAATCATTTTCTTTTTAAAAATACATTTTCGCTCAGAATTAGTTTGTTTTTTTCTGTCTTTTTACACTTATTCAAACAGGGAATCAGAAAACGAACATAGTAGAAATCGCCTGTGAAAGATTTGAGGAACAAGATCCCAGCAAAGAAAGTGGGCAGATCCTTTGCGATTCGGAATTAAAAGACGCAGAGGAAAGAGAAACCATTCACTCCCCCAAAGCCACTACTTCTTCTCTGGTTGTGCCTCCTGGAGCTGAGCTCTTACACGAAAGCAACGACCCTGAATTGGAAAATGCACATACAAACCGAACTCACACTCTTCCGAGTAACACAGCGAACTGCAATGTGACTTCAGTCATCCATTCCCCCCCGGCAACAAGCTCCAAGCCCAAACTCTGGTCTCTGGCGGAAATCGCCACCTCGGACAAGTCGAAGGAACAGAGCGAGCTACTACAGAGTGCGTGCCCGGGTCAGGGTTGCGGCGTGTCGGCCAGCGCCTCGTCTCCGTCCCGTTCCCCTTGTCCTTACCCGAACAGCGCCGTGCTGGGTCGGCCTCTCTACTACACCTCGCCCTTCTACACGGGCTACACGAACTATGGCAGCTTCGGGCACCTTCACAGCCACCACGGAGGTAACAGCACAACACACTTCAGTTCCAATGGATTAAGCCAGACTGTCTTAAGCAGAGCAGAGGCTCTGGCAAAACTCTGTCCGGAAGCTAAAACAAAGAGCCCGGCACAAATAGATCATTGCAAGGACACATCGTCTTATGATTTGAAGAAAGGTATGTCCAATATTTAATACTGGTTCTTCGCCGAATTTCTGGACACTATTTATTATTTGGCCATGGCAAAGTATTTTCCGTCAAGATGGCATAAAGTGACACAGATTTTTAGTTTCTCATATGTTCGAAACGGTTGATGCAAACTGTTCAAAATGTAACATCTGAAATGAATGTCTTAACCAACCACGGATTAATTTGTATTGAGACTAATTCTGTATATTTAATGTAGCGGTTTTTTTGTATTTAAGAAAAGGATAATACACCCTCTTTGAAGTAAATTATGAAACGAGTGTCCTGTACAGATATTATTGTTGTTCTTTCGTATAATATATAAACATATCTAATATAAATCTGTGTTTTTGAAATGTTTCCTAGTTAAGATAATGGCAAATTAATTTAAGACGAAAGCTGCTTTCTCTAAATGTGTGTCTAGGAGGGGGAGGTTTTAACAATATACAAATTAGCCTCTATCAGAGAGAAACAATAAATCCAAGGGCCGCTGCTGAGCAAAATGTAAATATCGAATTAAAACACAGTTTCGGCTTCCATATCCAGGCGGGCATTGCTATTTGGCTTGGTTTGTTTTGTTGTCAAAATGTGAAGAACTTTTATTTTCAAAGAAAATTAATTCCAGAGAGTGTAGCACTTTCACTGTGCAGTTCGGGGAGTGCAGGAACTGGCTAGAATAATAAGGCTAAAACTAAAGTGCCATCCTTTAACCTAATTACATCCAATCAGTGTCGTGTTTTATGCAAAGCAATCATCTGGTGAACTTTGCTAATGAGTTCGATTTTATGCCAAATTTAGTCCTCATTACTATCGCAAAAAAACACAGCAGTGCTATATCTGAGGCAGAGAGAACTGAATGCATGCTGACATCCATACAAGATAACCTCGCCGAGATCTTCTCACCCCACCCCCACAAGTTGTGCTCGTTTACCATGTAAATTCGCTTCATTCTCCGGTATTGGCCGCAAGCTTTTCTTAGACTTTTTTTTCGCTGCTCATATTTCTTCTACCTTCAATGTTGCGATACTGGAACCCATTCAGTTAAGTGTTGGCTTGAACTTTTCCCAGATTCGCAGGTAGGTGTCACACTTGTTCCGAATAGAAAACCATCGTACTTTCAACTAAGTGCCAAAAGACCTTTTCTAAAAAAAATTAAATAAAATCGAATAGCACTCCTTGCAACATTACCCTTCCAATTCACAAACTACCGATTGTCAACTTAACACCAAACTTTACAAAAGGGAGGTAAAACAACCCACATTACTTGATCTGAATCATTTCACTCCAGTCAATGCCCTGAACATGTCGCCGTAACTCAAAGTGTGATACGACGAAAACCAGAAATTATTTTTTTGTGGAATATTGTTGTCTGTGTATGGGGTTTGCTGGACGTAGGAGATTTTAAAACAAAATTTGAATTGTATTTTTGTAAGAACTATACACAGAGCCTTTACTAATTTATGCGGCTTTTTTTGCAAAACAATGGAATCGGAAATATTTGTAAATAAAACCTCAGCCTGATTTTTCCAAATGCAACGTGATGCTTCTTGTTTATGTTTTTGAAGAATTGATTCAGCCCGACTATCCTAATTACAAGATCAACAGATTGAGAAATTAAATATTAATGACAGACCCCTCCAATTCTTTCGCTACAGGAAAAAAAGGAAAACGAGAAAACGAGCTCATTTATAGTGGCAATTAAACTGAAGATGTCAACCTCCCTTTCCCTCAATTGAATTTAATCAGCGAGCGCATTAAATATTGTATAACAACTCCACGTTTCGACCTAATCTACGGGTAATTTAAAGTTAGCTGTGTGGAAACGAACTGATGTAAATTTTGTACTCGATACCTATATATTTTGTTACTGTAAAATTACTCATACTATTTGTATTTACAATGGTCTTTTAGCACAGAGAATACAGGAAACGCTTGCTTGTCAGGCTTAATCGAACGCCGGCACATGTGTTTCACATATTCAACGAATTTTCCAACCAATTGCAATTATGAAACATCACAATTTGGATGTTTTCACAATTAATAACTGAATAAAAAGCCTTTTAAAAGAAATTGTCGCAGTGAATAGGGATTGAACTTTCCGTTTGCATTTCATCATAATGCACAACACATTTAGACTGTTACTTGTCATTGTTCTATGATTCACTCAGAGCCTATATTTCGGGTATTTCTCAGCACTCGGTATGTTTCTTTAAAAAAAATAGGACGCACTTGCGTATACATTGGACAGAATGTTATTTCAAAATGAGGCATTTTTCCGATGCTATGACTGTGATTAGATGCCTCTGAAACAATCCTCCAGTCCTTATTAAATGTAAAATAGGAAGTACATTTGAAAACATTTAAGAAAAGCGGCTTTATTTCCCAATGCTCATTAAACTCAGATTCTCCAGGAGTGATAAACGATGGGTTGCCATTGATCGGATTTAATTCCACCTTTCTGGTATTTCAGTAAATTGTCGTTAAGTGTGTCAGAAGGCGAGCACAAATACCCCTCGTAACGATACTAATATGTTCAGAGTCACTCGGACATTCAAATCAGAACTTCTATTTTTATCTGGTGCTAAAGTGTGAGCTGCACTGGCGTGATTGCAATATATCATCAGGCAGCACCATAATTATTAGTTTCCCCTCGCCTCCTTCTCCATCTGGATTTCTTCAATGTATTTTTTTAAATATACAAAAATAACATGCAGCTTGAAGTTATGATCAGTTTCAAACAAGGAACTAACAGTAAATTATTTTATTTCACAAAATCTATACAAATTAGTAGTGTGGCTATGGTGTCTATTTTAGGAATTAAATTAATCTTTACTTAATTTTAAAGGATCAGTGACTTACAGATGGTATTAGTCTTAAGCTGATTTTTATATTTTTTCATAAAGAAATGATCTTTTCTAAGTTACTCACGTGCATTATCACAGATTTACAAATACTATATCCAATATTCTGTACACTGTTAGAATATATCAGTACCAAGCGCACCAGATACTAGTTGCAGTTACCTTGTGGTTTTCACTGAATTATATGGGCTTTAGGGGTTGGCGACCAGCGTGGAATTTGCTGTTATATAATCACACACACCAATCTTGTCCCAAGGCAGTCTTCATATTAAAGAGGACTGATAGCCGAGTACATTAATATTTACCACACATAATTTCACTATCCTTTTATTGCTGATCCTTTCTACTTAATTTAGAAATGAAAACAATTAATGTTATAACTGCTATTGAGTTCAGCAAACTTCTAAACCTGACTGTTCAGAATATGGATTATTTGACGGCAGCTTTCAGTATACCTTGCACAGTACCCTCATGAACAGACATGGCGTGTTCCTTAGGTTCGCTACGCATATTTTCACACATATAACTGCCTTCAGATGTACATACATACATGTACCCCTGTATGTATGCTCCCATTGCCTGCCCAAACCTATTTTATAGCTATGGTTAATACTCACCAGTATTTTATCTGCTCCATTTAAGTAAGATCAAAACTAAACAACTTTTGTGACGGTCTCTTTACAATGAACATAATTTAAAGTTTTTAAACGGAGTTCGACTACACTGTAAACAATGCAATATAATCTTTTCCGTACCCGTTCTCATCCTTCTTCCCAAAGCAAAAGACTCAATTCCTTTTACACAAATTAATGTGAAAGAATTGCCTGGAACTATTGTGACTTTGAAGTACCTTGCATACTCTGGTGTTCATTGCAATTATGTAAAGATGCTTCTTGTATCAACCGTACCAAACGGCGAAATGGATCTGCAGGCAATTTAACCTGAATACAACAGAAGTGGTAGAGATGAAAATATAAGTTCTGGTCACTGGTACAAAATTGGAGAGTCCTCTCTGAGGAATGGAAAGTGAAGAAAATAATGAATCTGGTGTATAATGAAACCTGCGAAGTGTTGAACGAACACATTTGCTTGAAACACATTGATGCATGTAGATATGCAGACATACAGGTAATAAGAATCAGCCTGTTGGGGGGACACTCATTTGTTAATGTATGGAAAAACAAGAAGGTGAACTTCAATATACTTCCGTTTAAAGTAGTAATGCAAGAGGCGAGCAAGTACAAGTCAGCGTTTGTATTACCACAATGCGGACTGAAAACAGAAGCAAAACCCTGGATGTCTCTCTATCGCACGAGTAAAGCGGTAACGGACCAATGGACCAGCAGAACATTGAAACGTTACTGAAAGTTCTGGAACTAAACTGCGAAGGTGATTTCCACATCCAAATGATTCTCTTCCGTCCTAAGGTGATATTCCTTCCACACGCCGCAGTACGTCCTTAATTCGCCCCATTGACTGGCAAGAGGTGAAATGTCTGTGTCCTCTAACCAGCCGTGAATTCCTGACATTCCTCCCCTTTGCATGGTCAAAAAGAAATCTGTAGAGTAACAGCAAGCGGACAGTAACTGCATTCAGTCCCAGCCATGCAGAGAGAGAGAAACAGCAAGGAAAGAAACGTCAAGTATTACAGTTCATTTCTTCGCGCCTGGCAAGTAATACGGTCAAAGAGTTAGGATGGCAGTGAAAGCTTGGGTTCCCTTACCCATCTCGGCTAGACGTCTGTTGCTGAAAGTAATAGGCCAGTGACATTTTCCATCCTACTTGTGCGGGCTAATTCTAGCATCATTGTCAATGAAACAAAAAGGGAGTTTATTTGTAATCAGGATGGGAGGGGGAAAACACATTGTTTTTAGAGACAACCTACTACTTTTGTTTAACACAGCCTTACATGCATTAAAAAAGAGCTTGTTTTTTTTTCTCGGTGTTATTTTTAAACGAGCTGAACCCTTCTAGAGACTGATCGCCAGTGGTTACCACATTCTTGACCAATCTTCTTAAAAACTGAAAACTCTTGATCTTCAAATGTGCTTCTCTGTCTTACAATCCGGCCTCTTGAAACAAAATGAATGAGTTCCATCAATATATTCTACGTGCTCTTACACGATGTTGCATATACTTATGGTTTCTTTACTAAAGAATAAAATTGATGTTCGAAGCAGTTCAACTCATTGTCAAGGGATTCGTGATTTACTGTTAATGTGCATAATAATTACAGAACACGATGAGCTGCTTAATTACCAACGCAATGTGAAAATAACAAGGAAAGTCTGTTATAAAAGTGCCCAGTCTTATTCTACACGTAGTCTTGTACTACACGTGAGAAAAAAGCCGACTTAAAACACGAAACTCAGTCGGCACGTGAAAACACTTTGACATTTTGTTGTTGCGTTTTTCAAAACAGTACGAAAAGTGCAGTTGAAGTTGTTATGCAAACTTGGTACAAGAGACTTTTTTTTGTGAAGCTGTTTCTGATTTGACCATACAGCCCGTCTCCCCACAGTGTTAGCGTTTAGTTGCCTATTTAATCTACCGCCGCCGTCTCCAAATAAACTTCAGTATCCGGAGAAGGTGAGAGCCGATAGCTCTTGTACACTCTTGTCTGCGTCAGAGAGCAAAAGGTGCCGTTTGCACACTACATAAATAATCATTTGGAGAAAAACCTAAAAAAAGTCTACAAATCGAGTCCATCTGGAGCTGATCGAGATGATCAAAGGCCACGGTTTGCTTGGGCTAAAATGTTAGTCTGTCTGTGTCCTGCGAGCATATTTTAGGAAACTCGTTTCTGTACCCAGAGAAAGAGAGAGAAAAAAAAACTCCACTGATCCCAACCCTTGACATGAACCCAACAGGGAGACCGCTTTAAGAAAGCATACAAAATACATTTGTAGGGAAAAAAATGGGATGGCGAACGAGACTTTTTTTGTAAACAAATGCCAACTTTGTTTGAAGTGTTGGCTGGCGCCGCGGATGGGAACATTGTGCTGACTGCTAATGAATTGCAAGCCTCTGCATTGCGTATGTCAGTATAGTCCTGTTAGTGTGGTAATGAATGGATGGTCATCACTAACGTGAGTAAATCAAATTATATAGCGGAGAGTTAATAACTTCTTCAACTGTTTTCCTAATTGCTTTAAAATGCCGCGTGCAAGTACATACAACTCGGAGACCCTAGACTTCTTGGAAAACCAACAAATTTTAATTTTAAAAACTCATTTTATGTGCACTTTATATCGGTCTCTCCGGTTCAATTGAGAATGATATGCAATGCAAATAGAATCCTGGTGGAGAATTAGTAGGGTTGCAATTATATTAATGCATATTATTACTCAAAATAAAGACCAACCAACAATGTAAACACTTTCACGTTAAAACCCGTAATTGATATCTGTGCATAACGCGATCGCAATTAACCCATTGTTTAAGCGTCAAGTTTTAAGTCACAGAGTATCACGAGTTTTACTTTTTTACAGTAAGTGGTTTATTGGAGAACAATATTTTTTGCTGGTTTTTAGTCAAATTGTGAAAGCTGTGTGACTAGTTGTGTGTGTATCCGCTTGCTGTTACATTGAACAAAATAATTAAGATGATATTTTTAACCTCGCATGTTTTGACTGAAAGATTAGAGGGAAACAAATCATAAGGGCTGTGGAGCTCATTATGGCGCTACATAACAACTTCTAATGGTTTATATGGGTGAGTATTAAGGCGTGTCGACCACACATGTATAACATTGCATGTGTGTAGGTTGATATACAAGTAAAGCGACTTTGGAGGGGTTTAACTTCGCCACAAGGGTACTTTATCGGCTTAAACTGTCACAGCAAAAACACAAGGTGGTGAGGTAGTACAGATCAACCACGATCTAATTGCACGGGGAAACGGAGTCGATGGGCTGAAGGCTCTGCTCCTAGTGCTGTACATAGATTGAGTGAAACTTTTTTTAAAAAAGATGTTATTGCCTCATTATCCACGCCGTTTGAAATGGTGGGGCTGAATCTGTTGGAAGATCATGCTGGATGCAAGCTTCCAAGAGCGTCAATCTCTAAGGGATCAAGAGTGAATTTGCTAAGCTCCTTTTATGCTTTACTGTTAAAGAAGTATTCCAAAATTACATACCAAGTTGCTGATTTTATCTGGGCTTGGCGTCTTTCATCATTTCCTTCTGCCTTATCAAGTCTCTGTAGATATTTTTGTTATCGCTCGTTCTGTTCTCGCCTATACTGTAAAGGAGAAGAAATGTAGTTGGATTCCAGATTAAAAAGAAATAAACCAGTCTGCCAATTCATTATGTAATAGGAATCTATTGACAAACGAGGTGATACGTTGTTAATTATTGTTATTATCCAGATGTACAAGTCAAGTTCTACTTTCCCGGCTTGCACAAACAAACCACTAGAGGCACTGACAAGAATCAGGCTGCCACTTCAGAACAACGTCAATTCGGTTAAAAAGTGTAAAGGGAATCCTATTATTTGACCTGGTTAGATTATTGCTAAGGACATCTGTGACTGGCAGTTTACCAAGTATTACCAGAAATATAACCGGTTATTCCCACCATCAAATACAATATGCTAGTTCCTATGAGCCACTTTCCCTCCTCCCCTCTCATTCTAGACACCCAAAAAACAATTGGCAGAAACGCAGCAATCGAGAGAAAACAGAAGCGATTGCAAAGCAAGTGGCTGTTTTTGAATTTACCTTTTGTGCGCGTCTATAAGCAATCTTGTGGCATTTTCCTCACAAAAAGGGATTATAAAGCGCCACCGGCGTGGGATCAGGAGAGTTGGACTGGAGTATACTTTTCAGTGGAATCGCTGAGGGGATAAGGTCTTGCTTTATTTAATCATCAAATCCCGGGAATGAAGCTCTTAATTAATTATGGGCGCTAAAAATTCAGCCCAGCTGTTTCTTTAGCTTGGCACTGGCTCGAGTGGAGAAAGACAAATTCGGGCTGAGAACTGCTAGAGCATATTCAGCATAAATCACTTCCTAATGATACTCCTTAGTGAAAATGAACCTGCTAATGACGGATGGTTTATTGTCCTCTAGATTTCTATACTCTGTACAGTACAGCACAGTCCAGCCGAGTTGTTACCTATTAACGATTTTGCACTTCTAAATGTTAAAAGCCTTTTAAATATTTATGATGAAATTGTAAACTGACCTAGATGTGAATTGCCACTATATGATTTACAACTGTATACAAACCTATCCAAAGTAGAGAAAAAAATTTAGATAACACACAAGGTTAGTGAAGCAACAGTCCACATTTATTAAGGAACAAGGTTTGGAAACCAACGAAAAAGTAACTAAAACAAATAGATCTGTCCCTCGTTTCGCCAGTTTTAACTCAAGTCTTTGGGGGAAAATGTGTGCTTGTGATACTTGCAGCTGTTTGATAACACTGTGCAACAGTCCTTAGAATGCTGATCCAGTCAGATCCTGGCAATGGACATGGCGTGCTAAAAAAAACCCCAGAAGTTCTCTCAATATCCCCCTCCCCCAAATAAACGTTAAGCTCCTCGCTCTATTTAACCGCACTCGATCACATTGGATTAAACTCGACACAGTATTGTAAATACTGACATGCTCACAGATATATCAAGATCATACACAACTGAAGACAGTAAATGCATTCCACATCATAGATCATGCCGGGCTTGTTTGGGATATATGTGCATTTATAGATCGGTTGTGTTGTGCGCTTTACGTCAAAACGAATTGCTTTCGGTTTCGTGCAGAGGCCTAAAGTGGTGTAGGTGTGATATTTCCTCAACCACGTTTACACATTGCGGCGCAACCTTTGGTAAGGTTAAAAATATCATCCGTCAACTTTGAAATGTCACCACTTGATCAAGTGATCAGTTCACACGTTCGGTTTATATTTTTTTAACGTTAACAACCAGCTTAATATCTTTTTTTTTGGTCAAGGGAGTAGGAAATTGACCTGCACCGGATGCTGATGGTGGATGCAAGCGCGTCTGTGCTGTTTGGAAATCTGTTCTTCATACAGACTTCACCCGGGACTAGATTAAATAGGACAGAAAATACGAGCTTTATATTTTAATTTAAATAATTCTTATAATGTCAAAAATATTACAATTTGAACTTAGAGGACGTTTTTAAAATTATATTTTTGCTTCTTGTATCCTAGCTGTGGTTGAATTTTATTCAGCCATCACTGCTGTGTTTGTTGAATACCCTGAGCTACCAATTGGTCAAAAAACTCCACTTTAAAATTCTTGTTCCTGTTTTCAAATACCTCCATAACCTCACTTATTTGCTATCTCTGTAAACTCCTTAAACCTTACAGCACTCTGAGATCTCTGTGATCTGCCAACTCTGGCCTGTAGCACAACACTGGTATTCCCTCCTTAGACCTTCTACTTTATCGCCCATTTCTGTTCAGCCGCTGTTTAGACCTACTCCTTTGACCTAAACCATGACAACTGACCTGAACTTTCATTCTGTATCAAATACAGTTTGATAATACTCCTATGAAGTACCTTGAAACACCTTAGTGTATTAAAGGTCTTACATATATTCAAGTTATAAGATAGTACAGATGTAACATGTCATGTTAAGTATGTTTATCAGGTGGTAGTGGATCAAAGCCCCACTTTCCTCTTTGATGGAGTTGACATTAGGTTCTGCTGTTGCAACTGAATATAGGACAAAAAGGGTTGATTCCACTACTCTATTATTGGTAATAATGAGATCAGATGATCTTCAAACTTTGGTCTTATTAACTTCTTTTCAATCGCTGCTCTGTTTATTGAATTGATGCAATGAAATAACTGTGAAACAATAAAAGTCTTCAAACAAAATTATGTAATTAGCTATGATACTATTTTCAACAACTTGGAATACTTTTGAATAAGTTCAGGGGAAGGGTCACTAGACCTGAAACATTAACTCTACTTTCTCTCCACACTGCTGCTAGACCTGTTGATTTTTCCTGCAATTTCGGTTTTTGTTTTTGACCTTGGAATATTTGCTAAGAAAACCTTACCATTGATGATATGTACTGATGAACAGAAAGATATATATGTAAACCCCCATAAATGAGCATGTTACATGAAATAATCTAAATATGTAAATTCAGAAGGGAGGAAGAGAGAGATAGAACGTTAAAGAAATGGCAAAAAATATTTATCTGTGAGTGGCTTCTGAAAAAGCAATAAAAGAATATCATAAAAATACCACAAGAGAACCAGAAGCTTTCATAAGAAGAGAGACAAGCTTGGAGATGGATAGATATAACAGATTCATTGAGACAAAGAATAGGATGATGAAAAGGCAAATTGAGGTCAATGAGAGTAGGGAAGAATGAAAACACTCTAGTGACTTGGTCATGATAAAGAAAGATGCAGATGGTGAAGGAAAGAAAATTACATGCAGGAAACCAGAAACTGCATTTGATAGGGCAAGAGTAAGTGGATTACTTGTGTGTCAATGTAGTATAACTAATTTCCTTCACCTATCTCTCCACTGTTTTTAATGGTTGCATTTTAATTCGTCTTGGGAAATGATAGTTTAACTGTACATGAATCTAAAAGGGCAAATTTTTGTAAGGGAGCAGTATCAGACATTGTAAATAGTGTCAACAATAGTCTATGAGTCCCATAAACTATCAGTCAGCCAATGTACCTGGAGATTATACATGGAGTATAAATACACAGACTAGATTCTTTCTATAAAGCTGTTTAGGGACCTGCATAAAATGTGTCACATTGCAAAAGGGATATCATTGAAAGTCTGTTGCACATAGTTGGTTAGGGAATGGAACCATAAGTAACATTTACTGTCCCAGAGGGTTAGGCTACAGTTACAGTGAGGAATTAGTGCTTGCCTGTGCATATATGTATTTTACTTACGCTGCAAAGACAAATTCTTAGAGTAATCCATGGCAGAGCCAAACTCTTAAAGTAATGTATATGTGTGTATCTTTTATACAGTATGTATGTTTCTGCACTTCTGCAGTGCTGAAAAAGATTTGATAGCAGATCTGCCTATTGCTTAAGTAAAGGGCCACATTTAATTTTGCTGATTTTATAACTATCCAGCATTCTTAACACCTGCTTCAAGGTATTATTTCAGAGGTTTTAGAGATAAAAGTCACTGTTTTCATTTAATGGTAAAATAGCACAATTTGCCCAGACATCACTTTGCTAAAAGAAATAGGCTTTTATTCACTGAAACCAAACCACAGACTCTTTGCTTAAGCTTGATGGATGCAAATGTAAATGCGCACTTATTTAATTGGATCAGGTCCCAAGATAAAAGAGATAAACGGCTCCCAGTTTGCCAAGTTATTTTCAGAGGCATGCAGTGATGTGTGTAGCGAAAGTTAATGAAGAAGCAAAGAGACAAACTGTACTTAAAATACCTTGGGTCTAGACTTGTTGAAAGGAAGCCTAGAGTTTTTTTTTACATGTAGGAGAATTTGAGAGATGCATTGACATGCCCTTCAGTAGAACAGGTGGTGGTTTGTGGAGGATATCTGCTAAACGTTACTGAAATAACAGAGAATCCCACACAACCACGGAGAGATCAGTTTTGGCTTTGGTGATGCTCTTGTGATACCTGATGAATTAAAATGCTGCTTCAAGTTTCATCAGTTTGCACTTTTTTGCTCTTTGATCACAGCTTCAAGCAATCACTTCACCTCATAGTGTGTAATCAAGCATGAACTGCAAAAGCAATTATTACCAAAAAGCCTATATCACTTTATTGACTTATTTTTTCTCTGTGGTTTACATCCATATGCATGAGCCATTAACAGACAGTTATTGATATAAACACAGTTTTTGTTGCTAAAGGCCTTCCAAAACAAATTCTCCGGCTGAGTGCCAACGTATGCATGTTGGCTTGGTGCAAGCTGATTAGTGAGATGATTTACAACCTAACAGAAAGGATGAAACTGTCAAGGCAGCAATTCAAAAAGACAAGATAGCACACCCACAAGGTTTCGTTCATGTTAACGTAAACCACCCAACAAATCAAGTCCTACACCACAAATACCTGAGACAGTCAAGCAATCAATTGGCTGCAGATTAAATGCAGTCTCTATTACCAGTATCTCTGGTAATTTGTTACGCTGACAATAGTATCTCCTAGCTGTATGAAACCACCCCTCCTCACCTGTCCAACTGCGTGAGAATGGAGATATTTCAGGTCCGCAGCAGGGCACCTAATACAACAGTTGCAATATTGCTTCTGTTTTCTACCCTTACAAATAGCAAGACAATGAGTCTGAATGGTGGCCCACAAAGCGCAGGGGTCAAATGCTGCAATTTCAGCTACATACAGTTGTTCCTTTTGTCCCCAGACTTTTTTGCCCTGTTCATTAATAATAAAACAAAATCTTTCTCTTCACTGTCCTTGATGGAGAAAACCTTACTCTGCAATAAACTTTGGGACTTTGATCTTAGACCATTCACTTAGGTCTTTATTTCAGCTGAAATCAGTGGCAAAACTATGTGAACTTATTGTTCACACTTGCTGCGCTTCTGGTTTAGAAAGAACTGATTTATTAGCTTGTCAAGGGAAGCATTGTTCAAGAAGGCAATCAAAAAGCACTTACCTAGCTAAACTAAAATTACTGGCTTTTCACTGGCTAATTTGTATAACTCCCATGGAGCAGCTTGGAAAAGGTTTGATGAGGCATAAAATGATGATTAATGAATTTATTGCCCTAGTGCTCATCAAATAGGAGTGTGATTTGTTCTCCTGGTGTAGTGTCTGTTGTATGTAGAGAATAGCCAGAAACATGACTTTCAGCATCTGAGTGGCAGTT